TGAAGCCAACTTTGACATGTATCTCTCCGAAAATCCGTACGTCTTCGTCAACTTCTTGGCTCCTTGGTGCATCTGGTGCCAGCGGCTCGAGCCAACATGGGAAGCCACGGCCGAGGAAGTAGAAAGACTGAACGAAAATGAAAACGAGTCCATTGATGTAGATATAGTCAAAGTGGATTGCGTGGCGAACCGCAACCTTTGTGGTACACAACGCATTCAAGCTTTCCCTACACTCCGATTCTTCAAGGATTCTCAGCAGTACGGCATTGACTATAAACAGGATCGCACCGTCTCTGCTATGATAGACTTTCTAAAACAGAAGGTGGAACTTGAGAAGACGATGGAAGATTGGCATCCTCGTCGCAAACAGCGCATGCTTGAAATCAAAGAACATCCCGGTTGCATGGTTTCAGGCCACGTGCTTGTAAATAGGGTCCCTGGTAATTTTCATATTGAGGCCCGCTCCCTCCATCATAACCTCAATGCGGCCATGACAAATCTATCTCATATTGTTAATCACTTAAGTTTCGGGACCCCCCTTGCTAGGGATTTGCAGAGGAAGGTATCCAAATACCCACAATTTCAGTCCGCCCATCCACTGGACGGTGGTAGCTTTATCAACAGGGACTATCACCAGGCGCACCATCATTATTCAAAGGTTGTCTCCACGCACTTCGAGGTAAATCAGTCGAGCTGAGTTTATATTGATCTCCAAGTAACTCAGCATTTTAAATCAGGTTGGCGGCATGATGACCAAGACACATGAGATCATTGGCTACCAAATGCTTTCACAATCCCAGGTCATGCATTATAATGAAATGGATGTGCCTGAGGCCAAATTTTCTTATGACCTCTCTCCTATGGCTGCTTGTCCCCGGGTCTATCGGGCATTAGCCCTCGTCACATGAAACAATACTCCCACAGGTCCTCGTATCTAGCAAAGGGCGTCGGTGGTATGACTTTGTCACCTCTGTGTGTGCCATTATTGGGGGGACCTTCACTGTCGTTGGGCTTGTCGACGCCGTCCTCTACAAGATCATTAAAGGGGGGAAACAGCTCTAAGGATGTGATCAGGCGATCTGTCTTGCATGAACTCAACAGAGAGATTCCGCGCTGCAATTTGGACTTGGGTGTCAGATAATTATTGTATTTAAGCTCATATGACAGACTGGTCGTCTCTGGGCACTCAAAGAGGACTCCGGCAAAGCAGGCCTTGGGATTCCCCAGCATCCGCTTCTAGCATCATCGTGGCAAATTTCGCAGATGCAGGGTGGCAATCGAGCAAGAAGCAGCCGACCAGCGACCAGTAATATTCATTGATCATCGGGGAAGGCCCCTGGGCGCGTTTCCACTCCGCATTTCCACCGAGCGATGTCCAGACCAGGGTAGCAAACGCGGGAATTGTCGACGAGTTCCGCTTTGGGCCTGAGTCAAGCCCCTGGCCGCTGGGACACCGTGGGTTCAAGTTCCCCGTGGACGCGGAGTTGTTGGCATTTTTTTAAGTACTGGCCTACTAACCTACCCCGCCGCCGGCTAGGGGCCGACTAGCGGGGCCGGCTAGGTCCCGAAGTACGCGGCGGCGTTTTTTGCGCGTGTTTCGATTTAGACAAAAAAAATGAGCAAAAAAGGAAATGTACCACGTGCATCACGTAAATAAGTACGTAAATTACGCGGGTTCCTGGACCACGTTTTTTATGGCGTTTTTTTTGCGCGTCTTTTGCGCGTGTCTAAGTACCTAGCCCGCCGGCGGTGCAGAGATTCTACTAGTACACAGGTACCCGCCGCCTAGGTTCCACTTTACTGCAGATTTCCGCCTGCGGGTTCGAGTTTCAAGTTGTCTGCTTTGCCGGAGTCAGCTCGCTGTCTATAAGACTTGAAACTGGATTAGAATGAATTAAGGGAGGGAAGGGAAAACTAGCAGGATGCGCAGTAGGAGCGCAGTGGGGTAAAGTGCACTGCAACATCAAGATGCAGTTCACTGAAGATGAAGGTAGAAATCTCTCTCTATCTCCCTAGGTGCGACCTTTTAGAACTAGGCCACCGGTCGGGTTCTGTAGCGGGAATTGTCCCTTCAAGGTATACTTCCCTTACTAGCTTGAGGTTCACAGTGCAGTGGATATATGCCAGCTTAGTTGCTCACTATTCACGTGCCACCTGAGGGGTTCAGAGATCGAGCTCCCAAGCTGAAGCTCAAGGTATCTAAACCATTGATTCGTTAAGCTCTGCTATACCGAGGACGGTATGAATCAAGTTTGGGGGCCTGTAGCGGGAATTGTCCCTTCAAGGTATACTTCTCTTACTGGCCTGAGGTTCACAGTGCAGTGAATATATGCCAGTTAGTTGCCCACTTGTATCTTTTGTACGGAGATACGCGGGTGCGGTGCAGTACGCTACTCTACTACTATTCTACTACTATCATGCTAGTATTGTATCTACCCGCGGTGTCTTCTTCTTTCTTTCTCTTGCACATTTTTAGTGACCGAGGAGCCTGGGAGTTGCGATTGCAGCTCACTGCTTAGTGTTGCTAGATCCCCGCCGGTTGGTAGGGCAGTGTAAATATCTACCTTTCTAGTCTACAGTGAAGGGCACAAAACCCTTTACAGTTCGACGACTTTCTGACGTCAGATCGCGACCTGAAAGGTCACCTGTCTGGTGTCTACTTAGACGTCGGCGGGGCCCAGCTAGAGGCTTTCGAGACCTTTCAGGTCCTGTCTGGTGTCGGGCGAGGCGCCCCCCGGGCCTCGGACCTACCGGGTCGTGCCGCGCCTCCTGAAAGGTCGCGTCGCGACCTAAAAGAACGGCGACTCGAAAGGTCGGTTTCGTCGGATCGGCAGCGACCTGGAAGGTCGGCGACTAAAAAGGTTTCGCCAGGCGGGCCCGGGGACGGCTCTTTGAGGGCACATTGCCCCGCTGCAAGAAGCCCGTGCGGCCTTCAAGATGCCGCATTTCGACCTACCCCACCTACCAGAACAAACGCGCCTCACTAGCTAGACCCGGCGAGTCAGATTCCTAAATGCGTGTGGATATTTACTCTGCAGCTGTCTCGACGCAGATAGTCCCACCGCGCGGCTGGCTCCCAAAAACTTTCCTTTTCACCTTGCATGCGCTTGGCACGGGGGAGTTGAGAGCGCCTAGGGGCTGCGAAGTCGCGAGCTAAGTTCCATTGGGTTTCTCATGCTGCAACTATTAACTTGAACTCAACATGTATCGCTGCTTTGGACTTGGTCTGGACCCAGGCAGAGGCTCGTCCCGTTCTCTTCTACTTCGTGTGTTCTGTGTCCCACTGAGGCCTTTGTTCACTCATCGTTAGTGGGCTTGTGGTCTAAATTGTGTTTTAAGATGACAACACCCTCGAGTATATGAGACTGGGCAAGGAATTCATTAGAGGCAAGTTCTGCACGGTCATTTACGCCAATGAGCACAGGAGTGGTATGAGTTTGAAAGCCTGTGATGGTTTTGGGACGACCGGCTTGGCCAACGGTTTCCACTGCCTGTCCAACGCGAACCGATGTCGGTAGGAGGTTGAGATTGGTGTCGACTGTGAAAAGGAATCTCGGCATCATCGCCGAGGCAAGATGGTACCTACGCCGATGAATAAAGAATTAGAGATAGGAACCTCCACGCAGAGCATCCCTAGACACCGGAAACAGGCATAAGATAGTGGGTCTTGTCCAGAATTGTTCGTTTCATGTCTAGGCAGCAGTGGAGGAAGATTAAAATGGCACCCATTGCAGACTTCGAGATGAGAGTTCGGTCTGTGTGGAACGGAGAAATGGTAAGTAGACCCTTGCCCATATGAAGCAGGCCTTGGGCGAGGCGAACGACAAAGAGCATGGAGGGCTCGCGTGCATGCTCGGCAAGCTGCCGCAGAAGGCCGGCGATGCGACTATTGTTTGTGCCAGCACCAAGCAGTCCAAGACCAAGAATTGCGCACAGTGAGACCTGAGTATCTGCATCATGTGTAAGGCGACTCATTTGATCCACAATGCCATAGTCAGGGCAGGAGATACGTAGAAGCGCGAGGGCAAGCGGAACAGCACGTCGAACGGTGGGTTCCCCATAGTGAAGGAGGTGATCAAAGGTACGAAGCGCCATCTCCGCGCCAACTTCCTCTCCTGTTGTGACAAGGGCAATGCCAATGACAGCCACTGACTGGTGTGCTCCGGCAAGATCCAGCGTCTGTGGTAAAGTATGGGAAGGATCGGGTGTTCGCACACTGCTGCTACTGTCGTGATCTGGCGGGACCTCTGAAGTGTGTGGCGTCGTTTCGCCATGGTGCTCAGCACAGATGTGAAGGAGTTTCTGGATCTTCAGGACATCTCCTGAACCAGCGTACGCGCATGTCTCGAGCATGACAGAAGCGTAGGTGCCTAGGGAATGATTGACGGTCTTGAGGGCCTCAAGCATGGCGTCGCCCTTCTCGCCGCGACCAAAGAAGAGAAGGGAAAGGCCGAGGCCGAGGAATTTGGCCTCAGGGGCATCGAGGTTGGCATCAGGGGTTTCCATAATTTTCTGGATAACGAGGGACACCACCTCCGAGTCACAGGTACCAATGTAAATTTGACCTAGACTAAGTGCAGCAAAAGCAGCTTCGACGAAAATCTCGGAACCAGAGAGGACAGGAGCGAGCGTCTCAAGTACATCCTCGCGTGCCGCGCCTGCGTATGCAAGGCCTAGTGCGACTATTGCCGCTCTCCGTATGGTAGGGGAGGGCGACTCGAGGTGCTCAGGCAGCAAGGCAATAGGCGGATCTGATTCGTGACGCACGGAAGAGGATACCATCCCAATGGCGAGGCATGCGCCTGCTTTGACGTTGTCCTCGCTACTGTAGAGAAACTTATCAATCATTGTCAGACCTTCCTCAACATTCCACATCATAATCATGCCCAGTGAAGCTGCAGCGGAGAGCATGCCATGCTCTTTGTTTTTATAGAGCCATGCGTTACCCTCGGGCGTCATGAGCAGGTCCTTGCAGAAACCCGCATTAACAAATGCATTGACAAAAGTTGAAGCGAGGTTCGCTCGGGCAGAGTCCACTTGTGGCACGCTTGTGCTCGAACCTCGTGAGAATGCCGAGTCTCCAAGATGGCTCTTGTAGATATCCTCTGGTGTCTTCGGATCTAACACATCCAGATCCCGCCCCAAATCCACCTACGAAGGAGGTACGTGCGAAGAAGATAAATGAGCGAGCGCAACACCCGCGACACGGGCCCAAACATAGTAACAGTTCAGCCGATTATTACCAATGATCGAATCAACGTCGTAGTCTTCGACATACTCAAAGTTGCTGCGATGTCGTGCTAGTAAGAAGCCCATTTGTTTGCGAGTCAAGTTATCGGCCGCATCAAAGAGCGCTTTGCATCGTTCTGAAAACGGCCGGTCCTCATCGTCATCCCCAATCTGGAGAGCGACACCCAGCGCTGCCGAATACTCACCTTGTCGCTCATAAAGGCAGAACGCACACTGACGTAGTTCTTTTAAATCATCTGGATCTGCCATATATGTGCCACATCGTAAAAGGTAAAGACAGATCCGCTGGAAGTTACTCTGATCCACTAGAGCCCTCCCAGCTTCGAAAGGATAGTCGTCGAGTAACTTGGGGAGCCGCTGTGTCTCGATTAGCAGATCCACTGCCTCTGCATACGCATTGTGACGGAGATGGAACCTGAGAGCAACAGTTGACGCACAATACAATTTCAGTAAAGAGGACCATGGCGCTGTGACATTGCGGGACAATCTCATCAACGAGTGCTGCAAGATCATGTGTATCGATCTCAGCATTTCCTACCTTATCGGCAAGGTGGCGTGCCGAATACTCTGCGCCGATCTCTCCGGCAAGTGATCGCACAAATTCGTGGCCCCAGCTACCAAGATCCTGCATTGAGCCCTGTTGCTTAAATAGAAGTATCTCTCGGGAGCCCCTCTTTGACATAGTCATTGCCAATACAGCCAATAGATCTGCCAGTAGCTTGTGGGTGGATGACGTCTTATCTCCAGTCGAGTGACAGTGCTTCAGCGTCTCGTAGTGAGGCCGTAGGAATTTAAGTGGTTTGGGCACTGAAGTCATGGAAGATGTCGCACTCCGCACTTCCTTGACCAAGTGTTTCAACGCAGCACTGGCGATAGTTGGGTCCGACTAAAGGTGGGACGATTTTAAATTATTTTAAATTAATTCACCAGGTGGAAGACGCTGCAAAGCGCATCCTGAAGACGTTCGACCGCAAGCTCGAGCCCTTCGAGGAGCATCTGATCCTCAGGCCTAGGTTGGGGCTGTCGTGTCACGAAGCTGCGTATACGAGGGCTCACGAAAGGTCTTTGTCATCATCTTTCTTCCCCTCGATTTCTTCCGTTTTTGCGTTAGTCTGTGCTTCCATCGCTGCCTGGTCTACCGACGAATTGGCTATACAATTTTGCTATGCTCGCCCGGATCAACGTGGCAATAGCTACCACGCGCCGGCGGTAGCGAGTCGATACGGACAGGACGCCAGAGTAGCCTCCCAATGGGTTCCGCCGGCGGACTCGTAGGGTAGTCCGTAGGTCACCGAGGACCGAGATCCTATTTCAATTAGGCTTGTACTCAAGGTCAAAAGGAAAGCTGACGGTACATACTGGAAGCACAAAGCCAGATTCGTAGTCATAGAGTGATCCTCTCCTGTTGGGAATCAGGGCTGCTTAGCAGCCCCATCTCACTTTTCCTTTTACCGTCTAGGTCAGGAGCACTGCCATTTCCGCTCAAGTGTGGTTAATCACACTCGCGTTCTGACCTCGATAGTCGCCGTTTATCAGGAATTACCCTGTTCACTCTGCGCTAACCCGCCACCGTACGTACGCTCTTGCGGAACAGCACGCTGACCGCGCCGATGCCGGGGCCGGCGCCGGCCCGATGTACGGGACTGGAATGCCGCGCGGCCGGAAGCTCGAGTTTGGCCGCGTGGGCCCTGATATGTCGAGGTCTCTCCGTGCCAGTGTCAGGCAGAAGTCGCAAAGCACATTCGTCGCAAAAGAGCATGTACAGGGCGACCGGCAGCGTGGGCACCGGGCACCGGGCTATGCGGATCCCTATTGTTTTGGGTTTAGTGGCCTATTTTTCTGGGTTTAGTGCCGGGAACTGCGTTTCTGGGTTTAGTGACCGGGAAACTGCGTTTCTGGGTTTTAGAGTGCGTTTTTGAGTTTACAACAACAAGGTGGGATTTTGGGTTTTGGCGCCCCGGAAGTCTGCGCGCGCGCGCGCCGCGGTCATCAGTCCATCTGCGACAGGGCCTCGCCGCCCTTGGCCTTCTTGGGCCGGCCGCGCTTGCGCACGTCGCCGATGCGGTCGATGCGGTAGATCGCGGGGACGGTCATTTCGCCTCGGGAGATCGCCCAGGCCAGCGAGTGCTTGCACTTGCCGTAGTGCCAGAAGTTGTTGCAGCTGCACTGCCAGCGGACGCCCGCGAAGGGCTTCGCCTCCGTCGGCGTCAGCGGCGCGAGGTGGTAGGCCTGCTTCATGACGCCGCGGAGGGAGTCGAAGTCGTCGAGGCCGTCGAGCTCGCGGTTGAAGTCCGTCTCGCACGGCTTCGTCGCGATGGCCGCGTACGCCTTGAGCGCCGCCGCGAGGGCGAGCTTGGACTTCTTCGACATCGTCTCGCCCTTCTTCACGAGGCTCTGGTAGTAGCCGACCGACGGGAAGAACCAGTAGCCCTTTTTGTTGGCCTTGAAGTCGAAGAGCCCCGGCGGCACCTGCTGCGCGACGCGCCAGTCGTCCTGCTCCAAGCGGACGGACTCCGCGAAGCAGACGTCCATCTTCGACGTCAAGGCGAAGTAGTCGGACGTGTGGGTCAGGAAATCGTCCACGGGCGCGAGCTCGCGGTGCGTGCCGTTGTTCTTGAACGTGTTCATGAACGACTCCTGCGCGACGTTCGTCGTGGGCTGCTGCGGCGCGAACTTCGCCTGCTGCCAGTGGCCCTTGTCGCCGTCGACGTACTCGGCCTGGAAGGCGTCCCAGTCCTTGAAGTCGTCGCTGTACTTGTCCGCGAGCCGGTCGAACAGTTCGTTGATGAGCCCCCCGTCGACCGTGGTCTCCGCCAAGAACCGCAGGTCGCTCATGAAGCCGTTGTAGGCCTCCTCCGACGTGAAGCGGTTCTTCTTCGACCGCACGTTCTTCATCAAGTGGAAGTAGCAGTTGCCCGGGTTCTCGACGCCCGGCAGGTGGGCCGCGACGGCGGAGAAGATGGCGTCGCAGTTGTCCTCCATGCTGTGGCGCATCTGCTCGCGCTCGAAGGGCGCCAACGCCTCGACGTAGGACAGGGTCTTGTCGTAGATGACCGTGATGTCGTCCTTGTTCTCCGACTTCAACAACCAGCCCGCGACGATGTGGTAGCGCTGCTGCGCGTCCACGGTGCCGACGAAGAAGAAGGGGTACCCCTGCCACGTGACGCGGAAGGTCCCGTCGGAGCAGATGATCTGGCCCCGCGCGAGGTTCTTCAGCAGGTGCTTCGTCGACATGCCCAGCAGGATCGTCTTCGAGTCCGCGTCGATGACCGAGCCGTCGAGTACGAAGACGCGGTGCTCGTCGTCGAGTTCGTCGACCTCGTCTAAACCGACCAGGTGGTCCTCCAGGAACTGCGAGAGCCCGCCCATGGTGCCGGCGTTCTTGCCCTTGCCCTTCTTCCGCATGCGCCGGATGTAGCCCTGGACCTGCGCGATGTTGTCCGTCGTGGCCGGGAAGTCGTTGACGACGTCGACGCCCTTGGCCTCGAGCAGCTGCCAGATCTTGTGCTTGGGCGCCGTCGTCATGAGCACTATGGGCGCGACGATCTCGCGGATCTTCACCGGCAGCGTCGTGGACGTCTTCATCTCGTCGTCGAAGTTGTGCACGTGGCCCAGGCGTTCCTGAAAATAGGTGACGCCGGGCTGGTCCGCCGGGTGCACGATGCGGACCTTGCACGGGCACTTGAGCTTCTTCTCCCACTTGCACCTGCGACACGTGCGGAAGGATCGCGGGCGGCGACGCGTGCGTTGGGATCGCGGGAGGCGGAGGCGCGCGCGCGAGAGACACTGTCGAAGACTTTTTGATGATGATCCGGTCGCCGCACCTCTGGGAGTAGCCGCCCCCGCCGGTCCACTCCGAGCCGTCCTCGCTGAGCAGCTCCAGGTGGTCGTCCAGCGCCTTCTCGTCGAACGTTCCGCCCGTCCACGTCTTCGTCGTGCGCCAGGGCACGCTGTCGTCCCGCGTCTGCTTGTGCTTGGGCTTGGGCTCCAGATCCGGCTCGTCGAAGGACGCGTCGTCGTCGTCGTCGTCGCAATCGTCGTAGATCTTAAGGCCGTCGTCGTCGTCGTCGTCGTCGCCGGACTCGCCGGACACGCCGCGCTCGTCGGGCGCCTCGACGGACGCGTCCTCCTCGTAGGCGTCGTCGTCGTCGTCGTCGTAGGCGTCGATGTCGTCGTCGGGCGCCTCGACGGGCGCCTCGCCGGCCTCGTCGTCGTCGTCGTCGTCGTCGTCGTCGTCGTCGTCCTTGAGCGCCTCGGTCACGACGCGCTTGATGAGCTTCTTCCACGGCTTCGTGAGCTCGACGCCGAAGCGGTCCGCGACGGCCGCGTAGATCTCCTTGATCGTGTTGCTCGTG